TCATAAATTACAGTTTCATATTTTTAATTTTATAATTTTTGCATGCCGTCTTACCAGATTTAAACTGATGATCTATAATCCGGAAAAATCGATAATGCGGAATCGCCGAAGTCCCGATGAGTCCACATTAACGACTTTTGACTGTATATATATATGTGTGTTAATTATTAAGTTATAATTTTTGAGTAAAACGAGAGTGAGATAACTGGTAATTCTAGCAGAAATAAAGTGTGTGCCGAGTTCCAATAAAGACCTAAAAATGCCATGTAGGAAAGCTGAGAAAGGGAAAACGAGCTGGCTTCACCTCGAGTCTAGAGATGCATATATTACATACATACATACAATACAGATAGTGTGAGTCAACTGGTGCACTTATATTATAAGTCACAAATGTAAATTACAGGTAAAGAATGTCAATTTAAATAATATACAAGGGTTGGAACTTTAATAGTGGCAACTATTTATTTACAAGGAATACAAAAGTGATTCATGTCACCATGTTTTACAGTCCTTCAATATAGTCGCCAGCATTGTGTACAACCCGTTTCCAATGATGTGGAAGTCGCGGAATACCTGTAGCAGCGCCTGTTTTGTTGATAGTTTGAATGGACCGGTCTACTGTTGCAAGAATCTCAGGAACAGTTTGGAAGCGAGTGCCACGAAGTGGTTCCTTCATCTTAGGAATTAAGTCATAGTCACAAGGGCGTAGATCTGGGGAGTATGGTGGATGGTAAAGCACTTCCCAGCCCCATCGCTTGAACAAATCAGTCACAGCTTGCGCTGCATGCGGCCGAGCATTGTCATGCAAAATGACAGGAGCGTTCTGCAGAAAGTATCGCCGTTTTTTTTCTCAAAGCTGGTCGGAGATAGTGCTCAAAATGAGCAGTAATACTGTGCAGTGACGGTTTGCTGTGGGGGAACGGTATGCGTTAGGATGACACCATCACAGTCGTACACGAGAATCACCATAACTTTCACATTGCTGGGGTTCTGACGAAATTTTGAGCGTTGTGGTGACCCGTGGTGACGCCATTCGTTTGACTAGCATTTCAGTTCTGGCTGGTGCGATTAGGCCCAAGTCTCATCCAGCGTAATGATATGGCGCAAAAAAGCATCTCCTTCGCGCTCATAGCGCTCCAGGTGGGTTCGGGCAGCATCATATCGTAGCCATTTCTGCATTTCTGCCAATTGATGTTGAACCCATCGTGAAGCAATTTTTCTCATGGACAGGCGTTCCTTCAGAATGTGCAGCACAGTCGTATGCGCTCATCCTGTTTGTCCGGCCAGCTGACGAATCGTTTCTCTTGATCATCCTGTTGCTAATAACATCGTACCCAGGCCTCTTGTTGTTTTCCAGCTTCTTTACACACGAGCAGACTTTCAACGGCATGACTAAGATCATGTTATCTGTGTGTGAGCTTGTTGTAGAGTTGTTGTGAAAGTCAATGATTAATTGTTCTGTAGTGGGATCATGAATGTTGTTTGTGCGAAACTGAGATTCCAGATCCTGTGCTAAAAGTTCTGCTTTCTCAGTTTCTGTGTAATGGATCCTTTGAAGGCCTTTAAAGGGTGGAATGTTGTTGTGGCATATTTTGTACCTTTTGACCGCTTTCCATATAGAGTTATGATCTCTGGAGAGGGACTCCGGTAGTTAGCCCGGAGTTTTGAGTAATAATTAGTGCGAGACTTAATGGTTTTATTCTGCTTGGATCTGGTCCTCTGAAATTGCCTCCTGGCAGCATTGTGCTTTTTGATGAGCTGATTAAGTTCCTTGGACCTGACAAGTTTAGGCTGTTTCACTTCTCTCTGAGGATTTTAAAAAGCATTTAGCACTGCACAGGTAAACTCTTTGATTAAACTACACTGGTGAAATAAATAAAGAGAATTTGCATATTTTATTGAAGTGCATGAAAAGAGCTGAACTGACGGGAAAATCACTGCTTCTAGATAAAGATGCAAATTTTGTACAGGAAAAGCGTACACGTGTGTGTGGGCAGAGCCAGCAGAGAAAAAGGCTTTTATAAGCGCATGGAGGATAAGACAAATTGTGTTCACTAGCAGACCTCTCAGCGAATTTCTTGGTGTTATCTTGCAGCAATCAGTTAAATTCACATTGGAACAGTGAAAATGAGTAACCACCAATGTTTAGATGATGGAATGAGGTGGTGAATTGTGGGGAGGCTAGAAGCAGGCTACTCGCAAGTTCAGATATGCAGAGAGTTTAATTTAAGGCTCAGCGTCGTGTGTAACCTACGGAAACAGTTCCAGGATACTGGATCCATTGAGAGAAAGCCTGGGCAATGGCGTCCGAGAGCCAAGACGGCCAGAGAAGATCGCTATTTTTCATTTTAGTGAGGCATAACAGAGGGGCTAAAGCTTCTCAGCTCTCTCGGCACCTGTATGCAACCACAGGAACCAGTGTAACAAGGGTGACTGTTTCCAAAAGACTGAATGAGATAGGGTTGTTTGCCAGAAGACTGGCTGTTTGTGCCCCACTCACGTCTACGAACAGAAGAGTCTGATTAGCATGGTGCAGGCAGCATAGTAATTGGAGTACGGAGCAACGGGCGACCGTTTTATTCACCAACGAGTTCCGTTTTAGACTAAACACCAATTCTCGCTATTCTTTCATATGGAGATATCCAAGGACCCGCTACCTACCCTCCAATACCCACGAAATCAACAATTATGGCGGTGGCAGTGTAATGGTCTGGGCAGGCATCATGTTAGATAGATGCACACCTCTCCACATCTTCGACAGAGGTTCTGTGACTGGTGTGAGGTATAGGGGATGAGGTTTTGGAGCCCTATGTTCGCCTTTTCCCATGTGCAGTGGGCCCCGAGTTCATCTTACAGGACGATAACGCGAGGCCACATAGAGCTCTTCTGGTTGACAAATTTTGCAACAGTGAGGATATTCGGTGGATGGATTAGCCAGCCAGGTCTCCAGACCTCAACCCCATAGAGCTTGTCTGGGATACTCTGGCGAGGGGAAATGCAACTCGCAACCCTTCTCCGAGAACCATTCAGGAACTGAAACAGCGTTGCTGAACGAGTGGAATCAATTGCCCCAGGCACTAACTAATAAACTTCCTTATTTCCAGTATGACATCACGCTGCGAGGTCTGTATGGCTGTAAGAGGGGAACCATACCCCTTATTAAACCATTTCTTTTGTGTCTTCTACAACCGCTGTTTCAGACCTTCAGACTCCCATGAGTGTTACATACAAACATGTGTGTCTATTATAACTGTTGAATGTTTATTTTGTTTGTAGTATATCAACCTATGTTCACACCAAGTTTTATTAAAATCTGTCCAGTAGTTCTGGAGATCGTAGATCAAATATGAAATTCTCTTAATTTATTTCACCAGTGTATCAATGTCACTGCCTGAGTGTATCTTTGGGATTGTGTACTGGATGTTGTTTAGAGCTTTGGCATAATTTTGCCAGTCAGTTTTAACAAGTTGACTGCCATGGCACTTTTCGGATTCCAGTTCGAGAAGCCAAATCGATTTAATCATATTTATAATTATATTTTTTGTTCGCTTTTTAATAAATTTTCTGTTCATGCAAACCAGCATCGATTTTTTGTTCTTTTCCCAAAAGCCATCTATCAATATTAGCACTGATATATTCCGATTTTAATCAGAGCTGCACAAAAATGGCAAGTAAACACAGTGCGATATAACTCGTAGTTGGCGTCCTAGAACAGAACGTAATCTACGAGTTATCTCGTAGTTGGCGTCCTAGAACAGAACACAATCTACGAGTTATCTCGTAGTTGGCAGTCAACGTGTTAAAGGCTTTTTTGACTGATGTAGTATAACTACTGATATCCAGTACCAAACGGACCGGATTGTGGTCGTAACCCATTCTTTTATAAAAGACATTATGCAGTACAGATAAACTGAAAGTATACATTGATACTCATGATAATTCTTTCATCTGTTAAATATAATATCGTTTTTAAAGGCATTTTACTTCATAACAAGAATATGCGAAATAGTCACAAAATGCAATTATATACCAATGATAATATAGAAATTCAAAGGAGATCTTTTTTTTTTTTTTCTTTTATATCAAGATAAAATGGGTAATCTGACATTTTTTTTTTGCTAGATAATCTCAATGCTTGAGCTCCTATTCATTTAAGTTTTCTTGTTTGGTATACCCGTATCTTGTGTCTTTTGATTATCTGCTTAAATAACAAGCAATCTATGATTATTTATCTGTATAAAGAATGATCTGTTTCCTTAAACTTCCGCTGAAATGATTAAACTTTAAATTTGACTAAATCCGAGCCAAATTTCACAGTCAAGAGAAAAATACCTTTGTAATTTTAAATAATAATGACACAAAATGATAAGTAATATCTGAATACAAAAAAATAAGTTTTTTTTTACAAAGGATTTTGCATCTACCTTTAGTTACATGTATAATGTTAAGGCTGTATGCAAGTTCCTGTTTTACACTTTCAAGTGTTTCAATGGTACTTTTCCCTAAAGCAGCTAAAAAGGTACTTCTTTCTACTGTAAATTTTTACATTCCTTGAAAGGAAAGAAAAATTGGAAACAACATAAGAAGACCTAGGGGGCTAGCTGTTTAAAATTAAGTCAAATAGTCCCCTGTGTTTGGCTGACATAGTGCAAATGACAGTATGCCAAAAGTTTTCTTCTGTTCAAGATGCCATTTTTACTTTTTTTTAATGAAATTTTTAAATAATAAATTAGCATTATTACTGTATTGTTCATACACCAAAATTAGACACCTCCCATTTACATTTTTAAAGTATTTATCCTTCTACAGTTAACCCCCCAAAAAAACTGAAATAATTCTTTTTAATTACCCTGCAAATTAATATATTCTTCATAATGAAAAGCATGCTAATAATCAGAGATGCACAAAAATTTCTTACAAAATAAATAAATAAAAAAAAGGGGGGGGACAATCAAATACAGAATTTTCGCATAAAAAGAATACAGCATAAAAATAATTACCCAAGTAATAATTCAACTGTCTTAGGTTTTATGTCCTCAATTATGACCTGACGACTTGTTTTCTCTGAAAAGTCACTAGACAGCATCCGCCAAAATACTAAACTTTGCGAAGACAGTAACAATGAATGTACTGGGAAGCGCCATTGCTTATGATCAGAGCCTTTCACCAGGATTGTAATATCACTTAAATCTTCATTCAAGAATAGCCGCTCTCCTGCACCTCCATATGCTGCATTACTTAGTAACTGGCTCATTTTTAAGCAAAATGATCTATAAAAGAAGGAATAATATAAGTGATAAAAAAACTGACCAGAAAATAATCTAAATATCAAAACTAAATACTTTTGTCCCTCACTAAACAAACTCAATCAATTCTGAGTTACTTATCTTTGAGAAAATGATCAAAAACAAAACTATATTGATTAATAGAACTTTAAACAAAACACTGGTCAGTTAAATACTGGAAATGAGCTCAAATTTTAAGGTTCTGGGTAGTGATTGAATTTTATCTGGGGGGGATCCTAGGAAAATTCCCCCCTTTTGTAATAGTTTTATGATCATAAGTTATAGAAATGAAATAACACATTTCCATTTTTTATAGACCAGCAATGCTCAACCTTTTTTGCCATATGCACCTCTTTCATCCTTGCTAGAAGATCAATCCTCCCTCCCTTTCCAGAATTCAAAAAATATATGCACATTTATTTTTATGACCTTTTAACTCGCAGGAAGCGAGTATAGCTAGGCTGAATGCATCCCCCTGGCTGAGAACAACCATTATAAAATTTCTGTTTCTCTCTTGAGAACAAGTTTCATTAATATAAAAATAAAAAATTTTGATTTTAGCTTGACATTAAACATGCAATTAATTAATTATTACATCATATTCTCTAAATATTCGTGAAAATTACCTAAATTAAAGGAACTATTCTAATTTTTTCTACACTGTATCACAAATGGAATATTCTAAAGCTAATAAATATTGCATAAACATGAATTATTCGATTTTAAAAAAAGCGACAATGATTATTTAAATAGTTGATTGAATCTTTTTCCTCTGATTTAGAAAGTGGATATCTATGTATCTTGGTTCTAAGATAGGTACGTTGGAAAAATTAGTACATTAGTTGACATTCATTATAACGACTATTCTATTATAATGACTGGTACAAAAAGCACTCAGTTGCATATTGTTACGTTTTTCTTCTGACACCAGTTGTTAACGTTATTTTCTGACACCAGTTGTTAACGTTATTTTCTGACACCAGTTTGTATGGGATTCATATGGATTTGGAGTGAATAATGACAATACTACTTGATGAAGTACTGAAACATACTTTGTTGACCAGTATTGTCAGGACAGCTCCAAAACACGTTTTTAGAGTCATCGCTGAACTACTATAAACACGCTGACACGATCAGCGACACATCTTCCAGGTTATCAGGCTATCATGATAAAGCACCACAGTACAGCTTCCGACTCTGCTTGGTCATTCTCGGAACTCAACGTCCTCTCAAGACTCTCCACGCTACAACTCGCACTGCATTTAACAACACACAGAGCACAGCTCGACTCTTCGGTTCAGTCATTTCCGGAGTTCAACACGCTCTCTCGACGATGCACAAACCGCGATACACTACGAGACTTTTTCAGTGCACTTGACAACCAACTCAACACTCGCTGCCTGGCTGTCAACTCAATCGACTCCGCAGGGATTGACTCGCTAGACGAGACACCAACTCGATACTAACTCTCCGCATATCAGCAGGGTTTATATAGCTTTTGACTGGTGTTCGATAACATTCTGAGCTAAACCAGTAAGAATTCGTTCCAGAAGGTTCTCCATCCGTCCATGGCATATCACCAATTTTGTCGCCAAATGGGCGATTTCTCGCCAAATGTGGCAACCCGGCTTTTCCTTGTCATTTTATGGCAACCCTAAAACTGTTCATTCATTTTAATATTCAGTCATTAAAACTCAATAAATTTAAAACACAATACAATATTAAAATCATGTTATAATGCTTAATTTATAATACATGAATTAAAACTCAAATTGGTAATGGACATAATTTTGTAATATTTATTTTGACCATGCCATCTGAAGTCTTAATAGTCACAACCCTAACAATATTATCAAGACCAGGATGTAACTTAGTAATTCTACCCATTTTCCATTTAGTTGGAGCTAAGTTATGCTCCTTTATGAGACACAGATCATTAACTTGAAGATTTTTAGTTGGCAAAAGCCATTTTGGTCTTTGTTGTAATCGGCACAGATATTCTTTGTGCCACCGTTTCCAAAATTGTTGAACCATTTTTTGAATATGTTGCCATCTAGTGAGATGGGAAACTTCAATGTAATTTGGTTCAGGAATGCTTGTTAATAAGAAAATGACCAGACATCAATGCTGATAAGTCATTTGGATCATTAGACAAACTTGTTAAAGGTCGCAAATTAAGACAAGCTTCTGTTTGTGTGAGAAATGTTTCAAATTCTTTATATGCTAATCTCGCCTCACCAACTACTCGTTTTAAATAGTATTTTGTTGATTTTATACCAGCTTCCCAGAATCCACCCATATGCGACCCTTATTTGCTCTAATTTGAAAAGGGCCAGCGTAATCCACTCCACAGCGAAAAAACGCAGGAGCAGGGGAAATCACTCATCAATTGATTAGTGACCAGATGCTCTAATTTTGCAACACTTTATACATTTCCTAACTAAATCTCTGATAACAGCTCTACCACTTATGATCCAATATTGTTCCTGAATGCAAGATTGCATGAGTTGTGGACCTGTATGCAAAAGTATTTCATGGTAATGTCTAACAATGACATGAGTTAAAATGTGCCTCTTTGGCAGCAAAATTGGATGCCTAAAGCCATATGCCGGTTTGCATGTCGCAAGCGACCGCCTACCCTGAGAATACCTGAATTATCTAAAAATGGATTTAAAGATAAAATTTTGCTTGTACAAGATAATGATTGATTTCTGCTTAAAGTGTTAATTTCATTCTTAAATTCAACATATTGCATTAATTTAATTAACACATGCATAGCTTTAGTTAATTTACTAGATTTTAAAAATCCACTTACCTGATCTTCTGAATTTTTACAGTTATTGCTATTAGAAGACCATTTTCTTAGAACAAATCCTGCACGTGACAGCATCTGATTCAATTGCATTTGTAATTCTATAGCTTCAGTAACTGAACTGGCTCCGGACATCAAATCATAAACGTACAAGTCCCCAAGACATGTCTTGGAAGCCAAAGGAAAATTAGTTGCTTCATCTACTGCTAATTGCTGTAAACATTTTACTGCAAGGTACGGTGCTGATGCAGTATTGTCGCAGTTAATCGAAAATTCTGAATTGGTTTATAAGGTGAATCGCGCCAGACTATTCTTTGAAAGTCTGCGTCTTTTAGTATAATTTGTCTGTACATTTTCTCTATGTCTGCAGTTATAGCTACTCTGTGAATTCTGAAACGAATAATTAATGTTGTCAGATCAGTCTGTAACTGTGGACCAATCATCAATTTCTCATTAAGAGAAATACCGCTAGAAGATTTTGCAGAACCATCAAATACGACATGAAATTTATCACCATTTTTATCCGGAAATGAATGGTGCGGAAGGTAAAAACTAAATTTAGCTGGAACATCAATTTCATTTTCTGGAATCAATTCCATATGACCAAGTTCTTGGTAATCCTCCATAAATTGTGATATTGACTGAAAAGAGATAGATTAATAAGTTGACGTTCAGTGCTTTGTAAACGATGTACAGCAACATCCCTAGCTGACTCAAGTTCATCGCTAGATCTACAAAATGGAAACTTAACAACAAATCTACCTGCTGAATCATGAGAAAAATTCCGCTTGAAATGATTTTCACACTCAATTTCTTCTTCTGTGTAATGCTTTATCTCTGAAATTTCTTCCAATTTCCAAAATTTTTCCAGCTGGAGCTGAACATTGGTACAACTAGCATGATTAGATACAATTGTTTGTGATACACTTTTAGTCTTTCCGATAATGACCCAGCCAAATATTGATTCCAAGGCTGTTAAGGAACGACCCGGAACAGTTAAATGTTCATGAAGCATTATCTCGCCAAATACATCTGCGCCTAAAAGAATATCTATTGGGCCAGGCTGGAAACAATGTGTACCTGCCAAACATAAATGTTTGAAAGATGTCAAAACAGATCTATCAACTTGATATTGAGGAAGGTCACACGTGATCTTGGGTATAATTAATGCATTAACTGAAATGCTTGCGTTTTTATAAAATGGAGATGTTACTTGTAATTGAACTGAACCTGAAACCTTTCCAATTTTTTGCGAGCTCAGGCCATTCACACTTACGTTTGCAGTAGTATGCTTTAGCTGCAATAAATTTACACAGTGCTCCCGAATAAATGAGCCCTAGCCCAATCCAGACAAAAATAAACCCGTTTTCCTTGCACGAAATATCCTTCTATATCAGAATGTTAAAAATGTCTTGACACATCATTCAAAGAATTGTGCTGGCTTACGACGGACCATGTTAGTGGATGGAAAGTAGACACAAACATTCGTTATTGCGTTTATTGGCCTGACAAGAACAAGTTCGTACAGTAGATATACAGGTAGTTTGGCACTCGCAGGTGCCCTCTTTCAGAGAACAAAATCAAAATTTACATAAGGTGCGAACACTAGGTTCCGTCCTTTTACACAGTGCGAGAAACATATACATTCACGCAGATTCTTCATTATTTAATCTCTTTAAATATAATACAGGGCAACAGTATTGGTTGCTACAATTTGAAAAGTGATTCAACACTTCTAGTGATTTGATGCAAAATGCCAGTTTAGTCCTTTAGGGCTATCGCCTCTTTTAGCTACGGAAAAAGAAAAGGGGGTACTTCATTGTTATAGCAGAGATTGAATCATCAGTCAACCAAGTTATCTTGCCAAAATATGGCTGGGTGTTCTTATACCTCACCACATAATAGTGTATATTAGTACATGTTTCATTTTTACTCTTGCTACATATTATTCATTTTTGATGAGGTTTTTTTGAATTCACATTATTTAAAAACCCATTCAATTTGTGTGTGTGTGAATATTATGTTAACAATCTAATTTACCAAATAACGAAATGGATGCCAAATCGTTTTTTACATGAAAGAAGTCTTTTACCTGACAAAGAAGTATGTGAAAGTGGGCACAACATAAAACTTTAACCATTTGGAGGTGCAATGTTAAAAATTACAAAATAAG